TAAATAAACAGTTTATCATAAATTTTCTCATGATCGGATCGTTAATTTTCTGATAAATGACTATACATGAATTTGATACATCTGCCAATTCATAATCCACAATTGATGGAAATTTCAATATAAATTTTTGCTGATTTAATTTAACAGAATCTCGTAATGAACCGAAAATATCCCAAATTGCCCAAACAGCTGATGAAGTTTCCGACTCTGAAAAATATATAAGTAACTTCTCGTCATTGTAAAAAAAATGAAGAAACATCCTTTCTAAACCATCTACAGTTTTAAAGATGCTTGTATCTAAAATATTTGCAAGTTCTGCTATTTCTAAACCACATTCGATCGAATATATTGTGATTCCTTTAATTGGAAATGATAAATATGCTAATAATTTGCCATTGTTTGATATGGTGTAAGAACTAGGAAATTCCCACAAGGTCGATTTACATAAAATCTGTCTCTGAAAGGTATTTACTAGTTGGTTTGTCTTTAAGTCATAAAGTTCCATATATTTGATGTTTTCTTTCAAAGTATCGACCAAAATATAATGCTTATTTATGCATAGCTGAATATATGAGCATATATAATTATATAAATCATTACAATCAACCAAAGCATCAAAGTAAAAAGTTATATTGCTAAAAATTGAGGTATATATTCTTTTCGGATATTTTAACTTTTGTATGTTATAAGTAGACTTATTCTTTATATGATATTTATGTATTCCTGAAAGTGTCAAGAGAATAAGGAAGTGATCATCAGCATCTTGTTCTGCTATATAATCCTTTTCATAAAACAATTTGACTATTCCACCGTATTTAATTAGTAATTCCTTATCTTCAGTATTCTTAATTGTACAATCATTATTAATAATGAAAACGAAGGTAAATCCATTATTTTGAATATTTTGAATTTCTTTAGGGTCTATTTTCTTATAATATTCCTTATAATATTCCATGTCTTTAATACTGATACAAGATATTGCCAATAATCTAAATTTCGATGAGTTAGTTGATTTATCTGACACAGCAACGGACCACGTAAATATGGACTTAGAAGCATTCATTATCCAATCGAGCTGCATTTCAGTAAATGGCAATTTGGTATCGGTGTGAATCCTGGAAAATTTTCTGTACGATAATTCCTGCTCCTCTTCTTCTACTTCCTCACCAGCTTCATTCTCATCTTCTCGGTTTGGTTCATTCTCTGATTTCGAGCCATTCTCTGATTTCAAACCTTTCTCTGATGTTGAGCCATCTTCATTCTTCAAATTTATAATATCATACATTTTTAATTCGAATTCTAGAGAATTTGGAGAATCTGAAGAATCTGAAGAATCTGAAAAATCTGGAGTATCTAAAAGATTTTAACCGGTTATTAACGGTACAAATCATTATTGCGGTTTGCAAAATTATGTGGCCAAATGATTCTG